CGCGTGATGAGCACAAACAAGCTCTTGCGCAAGGCTGTGGGGCCAGCGTGCTCACACGTCGTTCTCTTCCAGGAACTAGCCAAGTACGAGGACATGGAGGACCAGGTGGTGTTAACCGAGAAAGGTACAGGCACCGCAGCTGCTCACCCGGTTCACAGCCCATAGTGACAGTGCCCGCGGCTCAGGTGACAAGTTATTCTGCTTTTCTAGAGCTGCTTGAGGATGGTTTTGGCGAGCATCCTTTCTACCACTGTCTTGTTGCGGAAGTGCCCAAGGAGCAGTGGTCTTCTGAAGGTGAGGCCTTCTGCTTCTTTGTTTTGGTGCTGGATACACAAGAGATGCTGTGTGCTTAATGTTGTCGATTGTGCATAAGGTCCCACCAATGAACTTGGGCAGAAGGACGAGGTTAACTGTTAAAAATGGAGTAATGTGCAATGATGTCGCAGATGTGGGAAGGTCAGGTATAATATAATGTACTTTAATTCCAGTTAATTAAATGGCTTTTCTTGTTTGACCCTAACTTACCTTATGTAATCCTGTTGAATCACATTTTTTCTTTAATTTGTCCCCAATCTTCAGGTTACAGTCTCTAGCTTCGCCATGTACACGGCCCTCTGTGTACATGGATGGGCGGGGAGGTAACTAAAAGATCCGTTACACAATAAAGTAGATGATCATAATATGAGGTAAGGTCTACAGGGACAAGTGTTATTCCCAAACTTTTGCCAAAAACACAGTAGATCAGAAAGTAATATGCACGCCTCTAAAGTCTGTGCAGACTAGTACAGCAGCCAGAGTTTTATTTCTCAGGACTTAGAAGCAAGTGTGCTGCTGTGGGAGGAGTTGATTTTGCCTTCTGTTTTGAGCCATAGAACTGTGCTTGAAGCAGCAGCTTTCCTTACTCGAAGTAGATAAGTTTTCTGGTGCTAGTGATAAGAGAAGGACATGATGCTATCAGTGGATACAAAGTGTTGAAATGTTGCTGTAAATGTGGTCAGGAAGCTTACCTTGCTCAGGCAGTAATTGCTGAGGAACATGAAGATCAGTGCTCTTGTTTTGCTTGCATACCCCAACTCTGCTTCCTTAGCATCTAGATTGTGAACTACTGTATACAATGTGACTTGAATTCCAGAATGGAAATACTCTGCCAATGTATCAGTATTTGTAGAGAAAAAGCTGTGTATGTTCTGTACTTTAACACTGCTCTTGAGGATTTCAGAGTATGAACCTTCATGCTGTTAGGTTGATAAAGCTTTGTAAGAGCTCATTTTCAGTTGTGTGCCTCTTTCCAAACTTCACTTTTAATTCTAACCAAATAGTGAACAGCTGCATGTTACAGAAAGAGGGACTCTATATTTAAGCCTGCATGTAAGACTTGAATTAATATTTTGCCTTTTAAATTCAGACCAACTAAAGTGATGCCTTTTGTTTCAGAACACAACATTGTGGGCTTTGCCATGTACTACTTCACTTATGATCCATGGATTGGAAAACTGCTGTATCTTGAAGATTTCTACGTGATGGCAGAGTACAGAGGTAGGTTTTATGGCAGTAGATGAAAGTAATTACAGGGCTTCTCTAAAACTGAAGCTTACTCTGTTTTTCTTTCCTTTTAGGGCTTGGCATTGGGTCAGAAATTCTGAAGAACTTGAGTCAGGTATGTCTAAGTGATAAAACTAGAAGCAGACCTGAGCATAAAAGCCTCTCCTTAACCAGTACTCTGAATTAAAGGAGGTGGCAGGGCACTAGATACAGCTTTAGGCTTTCTCTAAATGGTGTTAAGCAGTAACAATACTGAACTGATCAGTGGTTTAAAACCCCTTGACTACCTGCAGCTGGTGTCTGAGCAGCTCCACCAGCTTTTAGCAGGCTGAGTGAGGATTTGTATATCATTGGTGCAGGTGGCTGTCAAGTGCCGCTGCAGCAGCATGCACTTCCTCGTGGCCGAGTGGAACGAGCCTTCCATCAGGTTCTACAAGAGAAGAGGCGCCTCTGATCTGTCCACAGAGGAGGGCTGGAGGCTCTTCAAAATCGATAAAGAGTATCTTGTGAAGATGGCGACAGAAGAGTGAGAGATGATTCCAGCAAAGCAATCCTTTCTATGAATATACACTCTCTACAAATAAATTCCCTCTTGCTTTCTGTGTACAGTTTGTAGCGGAATAAAGTAGCATGGGTGCTAATAATGAAAATGCTTTGCAACTGTGGTTAGAGTAATTGGTACTATGGTCTGGAACCGAGGTGTCTGAAGTTGAAAATATGCTTGTATACATCCTTAACCAGTGTGGGCTTGTTAGCTTTGAAATGTATATGGAAACTTCATTGTTGTAAGTGTCATTCAAATGTGTACAATGTACACACTGGTAGGGTTTGTTTTTAAGTATTTTCCTTTTATAAAAATAAAAGTGTTTTCACTTCATGGCAGTAGTTTTTACTTCAATTTTCATGTAGCTGTTTTCAGAAAGTTGGTATTTAAGGTCATAAGCCCACTAGTCCCCCAGCCATGTCCTTCAGAAGCAAAGGGCTGTTTATCACTGTTCCCAAGTGCTGGCTAAGTCTCTGCAGGCGCTGGAGCTGAGGTCCTGTCTGCACCTCTGCTGGGCTCCAGAGATGGTTCCCAGCTCTTAGTTTTTACTTCAATTTTCATGTAGCTGTTTTCAGAAAGTTGGTATTTAAGGTCATAAGCCCACTAGTCCCCCAGCCATGTCCTTCAGAAGCAAAGGGCTGTTTATCACTGTTCCCAAGTGCTGGCTAAGTCTCTGCAGGCGCTGGAGCTGAGGTCCTGTCTGCACCTCTGCTGGGCTCCAGAGATGGTTCCCAGCTCTGTGTGCAGAGGGGAGGGTTGAGGGAGG